GCTGCTTTGAGTCCCTGAAGGAAAGGTGGGATTTTCATCATCATCATCATCATCATCATCATCATCATCATCATCATCATCATCATCATCCCTTATTTACCTATTATAATAGAGGCTTGTTGTAAGAATAATATTTTAATTTGTGTACATTTCTCAATATAAGTACGCAATCTATGGCACTTCATCTCTTGTTGAGCTTCAGATCCTAGCATCTCTCACTATTGGTTTTGTTTGCTAGAGATATTAGGAATTGTACTTCTGGAGTGCCATTAAATGCCAATTGATTGTGAAGTTAAAATCTAAAAATGGATCAATAATATAGTATACTTCAATCAGAACTAAAATTCAAGGTTATAATCCAAAGGATTTGTACAAACATTTCATAGCATTAACTTTTTAGATGTAGTTACCAGAAAGCACCCAAAAGGTCCCTTGAGTTTGAAAAATAGCATAGACATTTAGTATGAGAGCAATTGGAAAGAATTGCTGCCATCTGGTGCAAGAAACATTTCACACTGGTTTCTTCTTGCTAAATTTGTTGTTCATTAAGGGCTTGCTTTGGTTATCATCTCCTGGATACTGCTAAAGTCAAGTCTCATTTCAGTCAAATACAACTATTGGTGACTTCATGAACACACCCATGCAATTTTCTTGGCATCAGCATGGATGTGGTTTGCCATGCTATTCTTATTTATTTATTTTGTTTATTTATATATTTTGTTTTTCAACTTCCAAGCCTAGCCTACATTATTGGAATTTCCTGTTGGTCTCCCATCCACCTATTAATCAGGATGACTTAGCTTACCTTTTAAGCCCAGACAGAGTCAACCAGATGCTGCCACCTGCCAATATTCACGTGTGTTACAGAATATTTATAAATAGCTGTGTATCTTCCATAATGATTATCCTTTCATCTCTACCTTTACAGTTAAATGCTTCAAGAAGTACTCAAGTGTGTTGACTTTGAACTACAAAGAAACCTTTTTGTTCTTGAAAGCATTGGAGTTGTGAGAATAGTTGTAAAGAACAGTTTTTAGCATTTATAATGGTAGCCTGCAATGTTTTGAGATGATGTTATATGTCCGAATAAACAAATTTTGTATAGGATGTGAGTTGCAATGAACAAATAAATAAATTACAGAGACCCTTGTAGATTCTGTTATAGAAAAAAAAACTTCAGTAAATTTCTTCTTTCTTTATATGAAATTCTACTTTTATATAAAGGTTTGATACTTTCAAGGTAGAGTACAAAAAGTTCTCAAAACCAGATTGCTAGCATAATGAGATTTCTTTGTTTATTGGATAAAAAAGAGGTAGATTGGAAAATGTAGATATTTTCTAACAGGCCATCACAAATAAAAAGATATCAATTAGCAGCATGCTCATTCTATTATGTATTTTTCCTCCTTTCTGACAGGGCTTCCTGATCCATTTGCTAAAGTGGTGGTTGACGGATCTGGCCAGTGCCATTCTACTGATACTGTGAAGAATACCCTTGATCCAAAGTGGAATCAGCATTATGACCTGTATGTGTCAATAGAGATTATCTAAATATGGCCAAACTTTAACCTGGGTAATTGCTAACAGAATTGAAATATATGAAATCAGGGAGCCTTTGAAAAGAATTACTCTGAAAAATAATGCGTTGTGTGTTAGCTGTCGAGTTGATTTTTAAAGTAGCTTGTTTTTCATTGCTAAAGCACAGGGTTGATTGATTATGTGCCATTACATTAGTGTCAACTCTTAGCAACCACATAGATTTTGATTCTTAAATTGTGCTTTTCTGTATAAAATCAGAGTGCTTAACTGAGATGAGTAGGTGTATTCTTGTGGCAGTTGGCAAACACAGACAAAATTGCAGATTCTGGATGAGGAGTAGAGATCTGTGGCTATCAGATAGGATTGGATTCCAAATTCCCACCAGCTTCTCAAAGCATATCTAGTGCTCAGTGATGATGGGACTTGTAGTACAATGGTTTTAGTGCCATAGATATATTATCCTTCCTTTAACTAAGGCTAGTAAGTTGTTTTAGAAACCAGTTATTATCCCAGTATGTTCACTTCTAATGATCCCTGCTTAAGTATTAATTGACATATCATAAGTTTATACATCACCCAAGTATTATTTCTTTAAAGTGAAGTTGGGCAATAGTAGCCCATGACATAATTCTAAAAGCTGTCTACTTAGAAGACTACTCTCTTAAGTAGGCATATCAGGAAACTTTCAAGAGGAATCTGTTCCTGCCCTGGCATCCTATTGGGTTGGGGAAAAATTGGGGAGGAGAGAGAAGAAAGTTGCAGGAGAGAAAAAAAAAATAGCCCAGTCACTGATAGATTATTCTAAGTGATCCTGAACTGAAAAAAGTTTCCTCACCCCTTCTTTAAAGGAGTATTTCCACCTTCCCAAAAGTAGAAGGGAAGCTAGTATGAAATACAAATTGGTTGCTTTTTAAAAAATTTCTCCTTTAAAATGTATCATACAAATAACTTGTATTATAGCTTTTTGAATGTGAACAGAAGTCAGATCAGTGAATTTCAGGAGTTCTTTACAATTACAACAGTTGGGCAGATACTGCAATCTGTTAGCCTGGCAATTTGCTGGAAATTTTACTAAGCATTCTGTGACGTGTGTTGAACCTGGTCCTTCATTGAAATGAATGCAGTTAGCTACATTTTAAGAGCCATAAAAAGATCAGAATGTACATATATTTTAGGTTTAGGCAATGTAGAAGGAGAGCCGTATTAGTCTATGGTAGTCAAAAATCAGAAGGAGTGTGGTAACACCTTTTCCTACCTGCAGATTTAATTAAAAGGCATATGCTTTTTATGAATTGTGGCTAGCTTTAGCAGATGCATAGAGTGGCTAGACTGATATAGGATTTAAAAAGGGGATGAGACAAGCAGGTTTATGGTGGAGAAAAGGGCAAGGAAGATCAAGAATTGGTCAA